AAGGAGCAGCACCTAGAGATATACTTGAAGATCCCACAGGGGATGGTGATCAGCGAAGAGGTGATGCGCAAGTTGGGTGCGAGTGGCAAGGGGGAGCTCGCGCTGCGCTTAAAGAAGTCGCTGTACGGCCTGCGCCAGGCTGGTCGGCTGTGGAGCAAGCTGTTGCACGCTAAATTGGTGGAGGCAGGTTTCACGCGCTGCGTGACTGATATGTGCCTGTACTACAAGCGGGAGGACGGCGAGATGACGATCGTGGGCGTGTACGTAGACGACCTGCTCGTCACCGCGTCCAAGCCGGAGCTGGTGGACGATTTCTTCCAGTGCATGAGCGTTCTGTCAGTGAAGGACCTCGGAGAGGTGAGGAAGTTCCTCGGTATGCGTGTGGATCTCAGCAGGGAAGAGGGCTACACGCTGGATCAACAGACAACGATTGAGGAGCTGCTCGAGCAGCACGGACTCGCGGACGCGAACGGTGTGCGTACCCAGGTCGGCGATGAGAGCAATGAGGCGGTGTGCAACGAGCCGAAGTTGCTGGAAAGGGCGGGATCCCCGGGTGAGCCGGCGATCCGCAGCTTCCAGTCGCTCGTGGGGAGCCTACTCTGGATTGCACGTTGTACGAGGCCCGACATCAGCTTCGCGGTGCACAAGGCCACGCGGAGAACGCACCAGCCTACCACGACCGACTGGAAGCTGGCCAAGAAGGTTGCCAGGTACTTGAAGAGCACGAAAAGCTTGAAGCTGACCGTGCAGGCGTCTGCAAGGAGCGACGGCATGGTCGCGATAGAGAGCTGGAGCGATGCCGACTTCGCTGCCGACAAAGGGGACAGAAAGTCGGTGTCCGGAGGAGTCGTGACGATGGACGGGGCTGTAGTGCAGTGGATCTGTAAGAAGCAGACCGGCGTGGCGCTCTCCACGATGGAGGCGGAGTTCACGTCGGCCTCACACGTCGGACGCGAGCTGCTGGGACTGCGGGAGCTGGTACAAGAGCTTGGCTTCAAGGTAGTGGAGCCAGTGCCTATGAAGATGGATAACCAGGCTGCGATCAAGCAGCTGGAGTCTGAGGAGAGCATGGCTAGCGCCAAGCACGTGGACATCCGCATCAAGTTCATCTGTGACTACGCTAGGAAAGGGACTGTGAAGCCCGAGTACGTGGAGTCGCGGCTGATGATGGCGGATCTTCTCACCAAGGCGCTACCTGCTCCGAGAATCGCCGAGTTGCGGCAGATATTCAACTTGAAGGACTGAAGAGCGATCGAGAGTGCGACGACCGAGGAGGAGTGTTGGAAGTTGACCATGATCACGGTTCTCTGGACCGGTTCGGGCGCCGACTGTACGATTGCGCAAGCAGGGACGGCAACGGATGGTTGCCGGA